TTGTTTTAAAAGGGCTAAGCGGAATAAGATATGTTTATTTTCTGTGGATGTCTGGTCATTACTATTATTATTGTTTTAGAAGAATTCAATGGACAAAAGAAACATTTTAAACCGTAGAGCAAAAAAAAAAACCCAACATATTTTCTGTTATCACACACTTCAAAGAGTGTGGGGGTGTGCGAGCTGCCACTACAGGGTACCCGAAACAAAAAATGTGATGGCTGTGGGATTTTTCCACACAATACAGATATGTGAATAAACATTTCCTTTGTAAAAGTTATTAAAATCTGACATTTTAATAACAAATAAATGCAGATTTGTGTGATTCTTAAATGTGAACACTGAAAAAGAGTAAGTAAAGCTATTTTTATTAGCTTAAACAAAGCCTCCACTTAAATACTGAATGTATGCATACATGGATGTTATGTTGCGTTCATATTGTACTTTGTTGTTGTTGTTTTTTGTTTTTCGTTGCCGTCTCTGTTTTTTATGTCTCGTTGCACATCCAATTTCCCTCTGGGACAACAAAATTGTAGTTGAAGGTAAAACTGCCACTAGTAAAACATAAGGAAAGCCTTGTTTGTCTGACTTACAATAGGCCAACTTACTAGTCTTAGCTCAAGTTGAATTATATGGCACCCTATGGTTGTTAAAAAGGGAGGTTCAGAGGTTCCAAAAATGCGGGTGTCAAGGCCCACAACCTCTCCCTGGCTCTCTCGCCCTCAATGTCTCAATTCACATTCTAGGGTCAAGGGCCTGGTGTAAAGCTGTGGCTCCTATTGAAATGGTTTACCATCAGCAGCGTGTAAATTCGCAGTAAAAGAAAATCAGCAGTATTTGTCAGACACATTCACTCTCACTAAAGTTGCTTCAGTGTGAAGTGACATAAAACCAGCACTGACCAACGGCTGCTTTAGTTCACCACTAAGGTTTAATCATTGACTACATGCACTAAACCATTCAGTACAACCATTGTACTGAATCAAATACACCCAGCATTTTCAGTGGGAATTCTGACAGACAATATTGAGTACTACAAATTATCTGACTGAATTGTCTTAAATTTAGTCAACAGAACTGCATGTTTTAGTCGAAAACAAATTAAACTATTTAAATATTCATTATTTAAAACACATTCAGTTGACTGAAGAACAATGTGAAATGTTAACAGGCTAATTTTTTTTGTATTAAATTTTAACTGGTTTTCAATAAAGATTTTATTAGCTAATCATATTAGCTATCATATTACATTAAACTATCATGATCATAATGACGATACATTATATACATGTTTGATGGAATAATTTTACAATAACCCATATTTTATAATAACCCAACGAGTATACCGAGGAATCCATCAAAAAAGATTAAAAATGTGTTCGCGATTTGGAGTGTTTTTTAAAGTGGGATTTTTCCATACAATAAAAACATGTAGATAAACTTTGTAAATTTTGTCTTAACCTGGTTGGAATATAGAATGGAAAATAAGTTTGGGAACTGCAGCATTTACATATTTATAAGACCTTTTAAAATGTTTAGACTGATAAATTTCACTTCATATCTTAGTCAGATATGTTTTGGTTTCTTAATGCGTCTACTTGCATACCTCTAGGTAAATAATTTTTTTGCGACAATCATTAAAAATCCACCAAGTCCTTAGTTACTGCCAGTGAAAGTGTGTGTGCCTTTGAATATCACACAAACAAAAGAAAAATGTTCTCAATGAGTTTTTCAGGTCACTGCATATTTTCAAACGCAGACCCAGGGTCAGTGATGTGCATCAGTTTGAGATTTTAAATCCCATCTTGGAGACTGTTTTGTAAATCCTTTAAAAACATTTTATTCTCTAAAAGTACAGGCGACTCAAGGTGAGGAGTAAAGGTGATTCAAGGTGTAACCACAGCATCTCCCTAAAATCAAGCGAAAGAAGCCTTTTTAATCAAGTCAAAAAGCCAAGGTGATAATGAAAGACAAAAAGCTGACAGAACGTGTCAAACAAACACGTCCCTGCTACAAGGTCCTTATTAAATGTTAAATGTCTTTCATTCACTGGGAGGCTTTTTCATGAAACCAAATGTCTCTGTTTACCTTGTTGGGATGACAACGATACAACCCATTACCTTTAATGTCTAAATGTGAGCAGTGGAAAAGATCATGGTTACCAAAGAAAAGAAATCTATACAATTGTCATGATTTAAATGGATCCATTTTATATCAGTGTGATAAGTTTTTATCTTTAACCATCAGTTAATGAACAAATATACCCAAGGCCACCTTGGAATGATGCGTTGAATTGAAGCTCTTGTTAAAGAGAAACTGAGGACCTGTCTTTGAAATATGAAACTCTTTTCTATGTGTTGTCTTCCACAGATGTAACATTAGTTGGAGTGTTTGAATTTTCATTAGACTTCTGTAATTCAGGTTGACTTGTTCAATGACAGTACTGAGTTTACTCAATCTTGCAGCAGACAGCTCAATGAATTGCCCCGTCAGTCAGTTGGATGTTTGCATTTGCACTAAACTCGCCGTCCTGCTCAGCTCTAACAAAATTAAAGGAGCATCGAGGGAATACTAGGCAATACGAGGGTTTATGAGGAACAAAATACGGAGAGAGGCGACGAGAAAGGGAAATAAAATGACGAAGCGATGACTCAAATGTGAAACCTACTCACCCAGAGTGACTTCTGTCTGCATGGGCATAGACAACGCTGGATGCTTGACTTCACAGCTGAACAGCGCGTCGTTATCCAGCTGAGGATTTAGGGTCCAGGTGAGGCGAGCCTGTACCACCACTGAGCCATCACTCTGGGGGAAAGAAGTGTGGCTGAAGTAGTAAAGAGGGTCCATGCTATGCACCCAGCGTGGGAACTCCCGGCTCACCACTGTCTCCGGGATAACCTCTGTGGCAGGACTGGGTTCCGAGGCCTGCTGGCCCTGAGTGTGGACATGCTCAGAGATGTCAGGGTAGAGACGAAGTGATCTGGCCTCGGGATCCAAGAGGGGGGATCGATGGAGCTTAGTGTCATCAAGGTCCCTGACGTTGAGGGGCCGAGCTCCTCTCACCCCCGCTGATCTACCTCCCACCTGCTCACCGGAGAATGGTTGAGTGTAGGAGATCACCTCGATCAGCTCACCATCACGCTTGAAGTACACCTTGAAAAAAAAAAAAAAAAAAAAAAAAATTTTTAAAAAAAAAAAGAAAAAAAAAAAATTTTTGACAAAAAAA